GACAGTTCTTAATTATTTTCTGATATTCAGAAAGGTTGGCCTTAACTTTTAGAAAATTATCTATTTATTTTTACAGAGAAATTATGTATAAACATGGTATAAAATTTGCCCCATACCATCCTTCAGTATATCTTCAACAGATTAGCTGGCAAATTTTGATTTCCTCAGGGGCAAACATAATTTATAAATATTCTATTTGTTTTTCGTTGATAGAAATTAAAATTCCAAAAAATTACCTTTTCCTTCTAGAAACTTTTTCATGAATTCCTCCATAGTATTTGTTGGTTGGAATACTTTCAGCATGTTTGAAAAGTGAAAAAATGAATTCATAACATCCTTAGGATTTCTACACATATAAATGATCTACAAGAAAATATACGTTCAGATACATATTTAGAAAAATAAAACATCTTTACTTGATCAAGTTAAATCTTTTTGAATGATATAGATCCACCTCAATCTGTAATACTCTATCAATTGAGGATTGTGAGAGGCATCGAGTATAAATGGTGCCAATCTATGTGTGACCCCAAAGGAGCATGCCATAAAGTAGAGCAACAGTGACAAAAGACTCTGACCAGAAGCAATAACTCTGAACACAGGTGTAAATCTCTTCAAAATTTGTCCATCAAATTGAAAAAACATACTCACTTTATTTCCCAATCCTCACCAGATATTCATTAAAACACACAAACAATAAACAAACAAACAAACAGAAAACACTAAAAGCTTGATGATGGTACTCAAACCCCACAAAAAGACCTTATTTAGATAGCCTTTCAAGTCTTTAGCAATTGAGAGGAGGAAAATGACAAACAAAAACTTAACAGAGATCAGGTTAAATTTCAACTTGTCACTGCATCCAGGGCAGCGACAAGAAAACAACACAGCAACCATCAGCATGACTGCCAGTGGGGACCAAACCTCAAGTGTGGCAAAGAAGGCCATTGAAGAGGAGCCTGTCTTCAACCATGACTCCACTTGGGCCATGTCCAGTGTATAAGTTACAAGAACATTAGAAGTCAGACTCTCTCCAAGCACTACATCTAGAGGCTGCCCCTCCAAGGCCCTCAGGAGAACCAGGGTTCTCAAAGCCAGAAAGTCTTGCTACCAATGATTGTCAGTGCCAGGTATGGGAAGACCCCACCTTAACCATCACCAATGCTGAACCCAGTGTAAACGTTGTGGTGGCAGGTAAGCTGATCGCTTTTTTAATACATCTGGTACACCTACTGGTCTTAATTATGCCAGACTCCCATATACTTCCTCAGTCTTTTGCAGGGGTTGATGATCTTATTGCAAAGCTTTTACAGATCACTCCAATTCCCTGCCTCACTGGGAAAGGCACAACCTTTGCCAACTCTGGTCTTGGAACTGATATTAAACAGGAACAGCACAAGACCAACAATTATAAGGTTAAAATGTAGAGAATACTCAGGTTTGTAGATAACATTATGCTGGCTAAGGGTATTAAAGATTATCTTAAAACTCTTTTTTTTTTCTTCTAGCAGAGCTCAAAATAAGATCTGAACCTCCTGGCTACACTCCAATACCCTTTGGAGTAAGAAGGGAACCCCAAATAGCCTTAGGAGCTCCCCAAGAGAGCTGGTGCTGTGTTTGAATTTTAAAAAAGTGGAATGGAATTGGGACCAGTAGATGATGTAATAATTATGTCGCTGGACTCCCATGTGGTCAACAGAGGTCTTAGTCCTGGACCCAGAGACATAAAAGTCACTCTGGCCAAGTGTGTGTGTGTGTGCCCAAAATCCTGAGAGGAGAATATAGGAGAAGGGATTGCAGCATAGCTATCTCCCATGGAGGGTGGCTTTTCCTTCTGCCGCCTCTGCTGCTTCATCTCTGTCTCTCTGGCAAGTGCACAGGCACTATAACAAAAATGTCTCTTGCAAATAAATAAATAAGACCCTGAAACACAGGAAATAATCTCAAAAAGAGAAATGGGATTACATCAGTTTAAAAAGCATCAGCAAAGAAAAAGAAACAACAATTATAGCGAATTGACAACCCTCCAAATTGGGGAATATATTTGCAAACTGTGCCTCAGATAAGGGACTGATAACTAGAATATATAGGTAACTCAGCAAGCTTCCATGATGTTTTCAATTCAATTAAAAGATGGGCATATGAACTGAACAGACAACCTTCTAAGGAAGACACGTAAAGAACCAAAAGGCATTTGAAAAAAATGCTCAACATCCCTTGCCTAATGGAGATGCAAATGAAGCCTACAATTAGGTATCACTTAACCTCAGTCAGAATGACTAAGATTAAAAAATATCCAATAAGGGCCTTGGAGGCAGTGTGGACTCTGATATGGCTGAGTCCCAGTCTGGCAGCTTGCTTTCTCACTTTCCCTCTCTCTCACATTCTGCCCCTCTCTAGTCTAATTAAAATAAATAAATAAATAAATGTTAAAAATAAAATAATTATTAAAAAAATAAAATAAACAATGATAATTGCTGGTAAAGTTGTGGAGAAAAGGGAACTCTCCTACACTGTTAGTGGAAATGCAAACTACTTGGACAATAATATGGAGATTCCTTAAATATCTACACATAGAACTATCATATAATCCTACAATTTTACTCCTTGTTATCTACCCAAAGGATAAGAATGCACTTAGTCAGAAAAAACACATGGGTAAACATCCATGCTGGTTGCAGCATTATTCACATTTACTAAGACACGAAACCAACCCAAATATCCTCAAATAAATGAGTGAACTGAAAAAGTGTGGCATATATACACTATGGAAAAACACTCAGCCATAAAACAACAGAGAGACCATGGCATTTGATAGAAAGTGGATGAATATGGAAGATTTACTGCTAAGCAAAGCAATCCAGACTATGAAAAAGAGACACTGTGTGTTCCCTCTCAATATATTTTGAATGTCTGCACGCTATGGCAAAAACTAAAGGCATATAGCCATGGAGAGCTACCGTGGATACTAGAGAGAATGTGAGAGGAGGGCGTTCCTCTTCCATGAGCACACATGCTCAATAGCAAATTGAAAGGAAAAAATGTGAAACTCTAAAATAAATCTCCAATAAATTTTAACTTTCATGGATGTTACCATCTTATATTTTCCTAAAATTCATTCCTTCACCAAATGTTAAACTTGTCTGCTCACATTAGCTTCACTTATCTTTTTCACTCTCTATTCTCCCTGTCATTTTATGAGGTACTTTGAGTCGTAGACCATCTATAATTTCCTTTACAGGTGTAGTTTTGACTGTACCATCTCTAGTCTCCTGTTACTTCTCTACATCATTATTCACAACAACAGTACCTAGTAGAGTCTTCTAGACTGCAAAGATTTCACAAGTTCAGATATTTAAAAGAAAGCTCTGAGGAGCAGCTGATGGCATAATGATTACATCACTGGACTTCCACATAGTCAACCATGGTTTGAGTCCTGGACCCGGTGTCTTAAAACCCATGCCATTTGTGTGTGTGTGCAAACCATAAATCCTGAGTGGAGAACAGAAAAGGGATTGTGGTGTGGCCAACTCCTGGGAGGTTTTCTTGCTTTCTGTCTCTCTGTCTCTTTCTGGCAAGTCCACATGCCCTACTGCAAAAACCTCTCTGGAAAAGAAAAAAAAAGGAATCTTCACTAAGCAGAGAATGAATAACTTTTACTTAGAGACAGAATACATGGGGCACCCAGCATAAGAGAGTACAGTTATTCACTGGGGGTCAGAGAGACACCCAGGCAAAAGGTCCCAGGATGTATATTAGCACCATGATGCTTCAGTCTCCAGGCAGAGGCTGTAAAATCTGTAAGATGAAATAGGCAGAAGTTCTTGGTAGAAATTTATGTTGCTTTAGTCACGTGGCAAACTCACATATTCTAGCATGTTATGCTAGTTGATAACCTTTCATGACATATTTGCCCAGGGGTCTGCAATAGTAATATGTCACAAATACCTTTTATCAATCTCACTGCCTTTATATTGACTAGTGTCAATGGTTCATATTCAGGCATTCCCAGAGATCCTCTGAATCTAAATTCAGCTGTAAGTTAACTATGTCCTACGCATATATATCTAGTTTACAACTTCCCTGTGCTGGTGGTCCCCCTTATGATCATGTCATTCAATGATTTTTTTATTTTCTTACATTCAACCACTGTGTATCATTACAACACACCAAATCACTTCTCCCGTTCTGAATACAATGTATAAGACTGAACTCATATTGAGCAAGTATCTTTTCTGACAACCGTGATATGAAACTTGAAATCAATCACACAGCAGGAGAAACAGTAGGTGAAATGAGTAAAAATTAAAATGAAAAAGTACATTAAGACAAACAAAAATAGAAGCACAGTATACCAAAACTACTGAATGTAACAATCATATTTCTAAGAAGTTTACTTTGACAAATACTACATTTACAAAATAAAGTCTTGGGGACCAGCAGGTGGCATGGTGGTTAAGGCACTGGTCATTCCCACATGGCTGACCATGGTTCAAGTCCCAAACCTGGTGGCTTGCTTTCTCACTTTCCCTCTGTGTTCCCTGTGTGTCTCTCACTGGTCAAATTAAAATAAATGAATGAATAAATAAAATAAAATAAATAAGTATTTAAAAAAATGAAGTCTTTATGTTAACAACTTAAATTGATCATGCAAAGAAACAAAAAATTAAAAACTAAGCATAGTTACAGAAATAATATCAGAGGAGAAATACATGAAATATAGACTGGAAAAACAATGGAAAAGATCAATGAAACTATTATTTGGCTTTCTGAAAAGCAACATAATTGACAAATCTTAAAGTAGACTATGAAAAAGAGAGAATACTCAAATATAGAAAAATCTGAACAAAAGAGAAGACATTACAATCAAACCCAAAACTACAAAAAAAATCCTAGAGACAATTGTAATACACACCAACAAATTGGATAACCATGAAATAAATAGACAAAATTCCTACAAGCATACAGTTGTACACAACTGACTCCTTGGGAAATAGAAAACAGAAGAGACAAATAACAATTAAGTACACCGGATGTGTAATGAAAAATGTGCCAAGAAAGAAAAACCTAGCTGTGATGGCTGCATTGTAAAACTATCCAAAACATTTAGGAAAAGCTAAACCCAGTCTTAAAAAATTTTCGAAAAAAAAAAATGAGGCCTAAGGAACATTTCCAAACTCAAATGAAAAAGAGGAAGAAGTATTAAGGAAGAAAGAAAAAAAATCTGTACAAAATCATCACAAACAAATTTAAAAATTGGCATTACCTTTGCCCTTATCTCAGAGTAATTACATTGAACTTAAATGGAGTCAATTATCCCGTGGAAAAAGAGTGGAGCAAGCCATGGTCTGTAAGTGATAGTATGCCACTCTGCAAGGCTGCAGTTACATGGAAGACAGCAGTTGGATTCCAGATCAACCTGAAGCATATATGTATGTATGGGTTCACACATGTGCTTGATACAGAATGGCTGGAAGGCTGATTTGGGGGTGTTGAGTGTAATGAGAACTTTTAATGGGTGCCTGTTTTGGACTTTCTTGCTCTCTCTCAAAATATGATAAACAGAAAAAAAACATTAGAAACTCACCTCCCCTCAAAGGATGCACATAAAATGAAAGTGAAGAAGTGGAATTAAATATTTAATATTAATGGAAACCAAAAGAGCAGACTATGAAAATTTTAATTAAAAAATTGTAAAATAGTGAAAAACATAGTTCACTAATTAATATAAATGAGGTCGATTCATTAAAAGGATATATCGATTATAAATTTATATGTACCTGGGCCAGCTCTATGACCTGCTGATTAATGGAATTGGATCCCACATGATCTTCTGCATGATGTATTTATAATTTCATAATGCTTTTCTTTTTCCAGCCCTGGAGCCTTGCGAAACACACCTGGTGCATGAAACCATCCCCAAAATCCCATCATGGATGAGAAATGGAGGAGTTTGCAGGGTCACGTGTCATTGGGTCATGCTTATTTTCTCTTCCTCTCTCCTCTCTGTCTGTCTAGTGAGTGCGCATGCTCTCTGGCATTACATTTCAACATATTTACATCTAAATGTAAAACGTATATGAATGGGTCTGAAGGGAGAGATACCTGTACTATGACAATTGTATGGGACTTTATCACCCCAGTTTCAACAATGGAGAGATAGAAAACTCATCACAAAATACTGGCCTTGAACAACGCTCTAGACCACATAAACCTAACAGACATTACATCAAATGGAAACAGAATACACATTCTTCTCAAGCACACAGGAAACATTTTCCAGGATCGATCACATTGTTATGCCACAAGACAAAATGTTAGCTAATTTTAAAAGATTGAAATGATATCAAGTAACTTTTCCAACCTCAATAATATAAAATAGAGACAGTTTTAAAGAAAAATTGAGAAATAGAATTGAAGGAGACACATGTAAGCGGGAGAAAATACATGATAATAAATTGGAAAAAATAAATTTATTCAGATGTCTATAATTCTCCAACTGATCTGCACATTCAATTCATTCCATATCAATGTAGAACTCACTGGAGCAGAGAGTAGACAGTACTAAGGAAAAATAAGTACAACGGGGAGGTACTGGTCAAAATATACAAACTTGTATTAGGTTAGTTATGACCTACAGATCTTTTGTACAGCATGGTGACTGCATTTAATAAGAGTAATGCATTATATACTTGAACATTGCTAAGAATGGAGATCTTAAATATTCTCGCCACAAAAAGTAAGCCAGATCTTTTGCCTTAATCATTTCATAATGTATACACATATCAAAACATAGCATTGGGGGTCAACAGATGGTGTAGTAGTTAAAGCATTGGACTCCCACTTGGCTTTCCACTGTTTGAGTCCCAGACTCGGAAGCTTGAAACTCACGCTGGGTGTGTGTGTGTGTGCATGTCCATGGTCCTGAGAGGAGAATGGAGGAGAAGAGATTGTTGTGTAGCCAACCCCCTTGAGGGTGATTTCTCATTTTCTCTCTCTCAGTCTCTATCATTCCAATGAGCAAACAATGCTGTATAGCAAAATTCCATCCCAAAAAGAAAAAAAATCATAATATTGAACAACATTAATAAATATATTTTTCTCGTCAATTATACTTTAATAAGGATGGGGGAACCAGCAGGTGGCGTGGTGGTTAAGGTGCTGACACTCCCACATGGCCGGCCACGATTCGAATCCCAGAACTGGGGGCTTCCTTTCTCCCTTTCTCTCTCTCTCTCTATCTCTCTCTGTGTGTGTCTCTCTCTGGTCAAATTAAAATAAATGAATGAATAAATAAAATTAAATAAATAACATTTTAAAAAACTTTAATAAGGATGAAAAGAAAACTAAGTGACAAACGTAATGGCTGGTAAAGGAACACTGAAATCATAACTATAATTTTCAAATGATAAGCACTAATTAGTGAATAAAGTGTAGGAGTGCTATTATACATTGCAAATGGAAGTTAAAATGAATCAGCTGATGTGAAAGAATGAAGAAATGGAAGAGGTAGAAAATGTAAATGTTATACAAAATACTCATGGCAGGAAATCAATACATAATGTTTTAAACTGAAAATATAAAAGTTTTCCTAAAGATAAGAAAGACTTACGAGCATAAAACCTATAAAACATTTACTGAAAATGTTTCTAGAAGAATTTCTGAGAATTGTGGAAAGAAGGGTTTGGAATGATGATAAAAAATATCCTTGCTTTTTGGGTACTTTTAGAGGTATTTTATTTTATTGATGGCTTCATTTTACTTTAAAACAAAATATGATTTTATTACATTATAATTAAAAATCAGAGAATGCTACTACCACAACAGCAATGCTCATAATAACAGACGTTAAGCTAAGCAATTATCATTTCTGCTCCTTTTCTTGCCCCTCTCTAAGCTTAGTGTGAATACACTAAGGCAATACTTTCCTTTGAAAAACACAGTGTGATAAATTATTTCTATTTCTTACTTTCGCTTTTTTGTTCTTCAGTCCTCTTGGTACCAAATAATATGGTAAGTGGCTACCAATAATTCGAGGAGAGGGCGTCTTCTCTAAGTCAACGTGAGAAACATTGTACTCCAGGAAGGGGGCTCTTAAATTCAAAGGCCTTGTGTCAGTTTTATTACGATAGCCCTCGAAATGAATCAAGCACAATATTTGCAGAATCCAAACAGTTCCTATAAAATAAAACAGCAATGGTTTTAAACATCTCAATAAAAACAATGTCATTTATTGTATTATTTTCAATGTGGGGGGTTGGTTGTTAAACTTCCCAATTTGGGACCTGCTTTGCATTTGTCTCTATGGTTCAGTAGTTTATACTAAGCTCAGAAGGAAAAACTACATATATATCCAAACTACCCTCACCCTTTATCTAGACTCCTGAAGTAATAGTCTCTATCCTTCATCCTATATGTACTTTTTTCTTTAAAAATACTATTATTGTAATTTCTGTTTTACATAGAATAGCTGTACATGTTTGTGAGTTACAGAGTTGTTTTTCAGAGTATGTACACAGTATGCAATAATCAAATTAAGTAAAAGGCGTTTTCAGCTCTAACGTTTATCATTATTTTGCCTTGTGCACACTAATTACCTCTACTGTTCTATAGGCCACATAACCATGGGAATTACTATTTTGAAACAAAACCTCGGTAATATAAGTTGCCTACCTTAATCTTGTAAGTGCCATGCCTTAAAGTTAGAAGGAAATCCAATCTGCTTACCTTGATCTAAAAAATTCTTGAACTCTGGCCTACTTCCTAATGATCACATGTCATATCCCTCCTCTCTTGACCCACTATGTGTAGTAACAATATATTCTCTCAATTCACATAACTGTAGAGCCCATTCTGGTGAAAAGTAGATGCATTTGCTGTTCCTACTCTTGAAAGTGTGTAACAAACAGTAGGGACTCGATAACTATTAGTTATACAAATAAATAAATTAGCTTTTTATCTTTTAGTGAAGTTCCATACTCTCTGGGCTCTTAACAGGTAAATTATGTGTCTTCAAATTTTTTGTTTCTTTACACAGTCCTCTATGACTCAAGAATTTTTTTCACTAGCTAAAAATTACTAAGAAGTTGGGGATTGTATTTACTTTGCCCACTCTCTTAGCACCTTACTTTCTCCTAATTAATATTCAACAAATATTGTGAGATGCCTACTTCCTGGTCTTTTCTCCAATTTTTGAATCAAACCACAAACTCTGGAGTTAATCCAAACTTCTCAGAAATTGTATTTAACTCTGTATAAAAATGACTGTGCAAGTAGAAAATAATTTTTCCTTTCTCTCATTGCCTTTGGCCTTCTTTCTCTGACAAACTTTACAGCAGACTTTAAAGTGAAGATTAGTGATCCATTAAAACTGACACAGAGAAAACTAGGTACATTGGTGTGGCAGTTTGTTGTCATGTATACAGTGTCTTTCTGAATGGTGTCCATTTGAGCAATACTAAACTGTTCCTTAAGGGGACATACTAACAAATAAGAAATTGTAGTATGGATACAAGTACATTAATAGTTTCATCATAGATAAATCTCATTAATTAAAAAAACATTTCTGGACATGCTTTTGGAAGCCATATCTTACTCTACAAGCTTACTTACTTCATGAGAATGTATACACAACCTAATATTACAGCTTTCATATGCTCTCAAAATTCAGATGTTGAATGTTTTCGCTACAGACACATGTCCCAAATTGTGCAGCATTCACAAATCTGTGAAAAATCTTAATACAAATATTCCTACTTCAAATTTATTATGGATCTGTGGGATTTATACATATGTCCAGCTTACCAGATTTGGGATAGGATATAACAAAAATGTCATTATCTCTAATTTCAAAGTCTTCCAGCTTTTCTAAAATATCATAATCAACTACGGATGACTGAAAATAAAATCCTTTGAATTTTAATAGTTCTCCTTCTTTTTCCATTATTAAGAAATCTGCAATTAAAAGAAGAAAGCAATGAATTAAATACATAATACTCAAGCTATCTAGTTTTAGTTTGGTATTATACATAATATATTTCTAGATAACTTTTTGTTAAGTTTACTTATTCATTTCTTTTTTTTTTTTTTTTTGAGAGATTTTCACTGTAGGGCACGTGCGCTCGCCAGACAGACAGAGAGAGACATAGAGACAGAAAGCAAGAAATCACCCCCCAGGGGGGATGGTCATGCCGCAATCCCTTTTCCTCCATTCTCCTCTTGGGATCTTGGGCACGCACGCACACACGCCCGGCGTGAGTTTTTTAAGCCACTGGGTCCGGGACACGAACCGCGGTCGACTACATGGGAGTCCAGCGACATAGCCATTACGCTAACTGCTGGTTCCCAAGTTTACTTATTCATTTCTTTTGAAAGCTAGAGAGAGAGAGAGAGAAAGAAACTTCTGTGAGTCTGAGCACTATGATACACTCCCAGAAACAGCCAGCCCCAGATACTAAGCATATGTATGCCTGGCATATGTAGGAGCACTCTCCTATCTAGGTCAGACTTTCAGAGTACCCAGTCCCTCCCCCAAATTACTTTTAATAAATGCAAACTACAAAGTATTATTTTAACTTTTGAATTGAAATTTTATTCAAATACTTTGGAGGTTTGTATTTATCTTTGTTTATTATCATAAGCATGCAGATGTTTGCTTTGTCACTTAAATATCTTATTTCAATTTAGTTAATACAAGGCAACTACATTACGAGAAGACATAAAAGCCTTCCTTTTACAACTTCTATTCTCTCCTCTTTACTACCTGTTTCTCACCTTCTTTCATGGTCTTGGGACTTCACTGCCCAAGTCCAACAGGTATCTAGGAGCACAGAAAAGTAAGTGGCATAGGTTCCACTATGAAGCAGCATGGAATCCACATATTGTCCCTATAAGGGAAATAGTTGCCACACAGAAGCAGCAAAGTGGGTACCTCCAAAGCCCTATGAAATGGGATGTGAGGGAGAAGGATTCACAGTAGATGAATCCTTGTTGGGATACGTAATCTATGACAGCTAAAGTAATGAGGGGCTAAAGAGGTTGATAGTAGAGATAATAGACCAAAGAGGGAAGAGTAGAAGAAATGTAAAATAATTACTTGGTGTTTCCTTGGGAAAATAGTTTTAGTAAGCAATTTTAGAAAAGTGTAATGCTAGAGAGAACATCTGAGGTAATGAATTGAAATTAAAAATACAAACATGTTCTATTTAATGTGATAAATATTTGCATAAACACATACATAGTTACAAATATATATATATGTGCATGCGCATGTGAATTTTCTAGGCACTTCTTGTGAGTTAAATGCAACAAAATCATAGTAATACAAAGGACTCTTCAAATCAAAATCTTGCTTTCTTCTTATTACTATCCATAAAAACAACGTGAGTTTTAGGCTATGTGTCCCAATGCAGGGCTAATACAGAAAAATAAGCCTGAAACTTCTTATACCAAATGTAAGGAAATACTCAAAGATTCATGGAACATCTCAAAAGAACACAGGATCTGTTTGAAGTACTTTTGTTCAACAGATCTATGGTAATGCTAATAGTAGCTTCGTAAGTGTATGGGGTGCACTAATATAAACAATGGAATATAAAAAGACTTCATGAGTATTTTTTAAATAACTAAAAATTAAAATAATAGTAATGGAGAAGTGAAACTTCATACCTAGAATATCAACTGAAAAATATAGAAAAACGTTGGAGTCTGGTAATCACTATTAGGCCATAATAGATTAGATGATTAAGACAGGATTCATTTATACTTATTTATACAGCTTCAAGGACTAGTAGTTGGCAGTTGAAATAGAAACAAGATATAGGCATAATATCAAAAAAATTCCTAAAATATTAATGGAAGCCACAGTGAAAATGGTATAAACATATATACATACATTTCCACACAAACACATATACATATACTCATATTTAAAGTCTAGAAATGATTGCAAGAGCACCAGGAACTGAAGAAATATTTCTTCAAGAAAATCTAATAAACTTGGTAAGAACAAGTAGTATCTGGTTTTTCAACACCAGCCTGCTCCTTTTCTTGCCCCTTTCTAAGCTTAGTGTGAATACACATACACACACACACACACACACACACACACACACACACACACACACACACACATTATAGGAACCCTGATAAGCCATTGTCGTGGCAAAAGAGGGAAACATTACAAACCTCAGTACGAATACATTTCTTCCTCTCATACCCCACCCATTTAAAAGCACCCACATCTAAGCACTGATATCATTCTGAAAGTGGATACCAAAATCCCCATGCACAGTTCCAGGGCTGTGGCTTTAGAGACATTACTTCAGGGGATGGAAAGATCATAAAATAGAATTGTAACCTCTCCTTAACGGAACTGATTTCAGTTACAGTAGAGTGTGTAGTGTTTCAAGGCTAGTGCTGCTCACAAAAACAGTTGAGACTTAAGGTCATCAAGTGGCATGGTGGTTAAGGCACTGAATTCCACATGACTGACTATGGTTCAAGTCCTGGACCTGGTGTCTTGCTTTTGTACTTTCTCTCTGTTTCTCACTGTCTCTCTCTCTTTCTGGTGAGAGAACCCTATATAAAATTAAAATACTAATAACAACAAATAAAATTAAATCTCAAAAATATAGTAGAGGCTTTTGTGAAAAGTAATTAAGAGGAACTTGTAGAATTACCAGCAATATAAGCTATGCCATAGTCTGTCTATAGACAGCTACATATTCATTCAAGGTTCCTCATTATTCCCATTAGTAAAGTATAATAAAGATCATAAACCAATTTTAAATTCACCAGTCTTGAATTTTGCACATGTTCTGTGGGAAGAAACAGGCATATTCTATACAATTGATTTCTCAACCTTTTCCCTAAAGAAGATAGGCAGCTGTGCTCAGAGCCTTCTGTATTCTTTCCTAAGAGTCAGTGCCAGGAAGTTTTCATTCCAACACTCTACCCAGTACTAATGTTTGCTCATTGAGGAGTACTGAGAAGGTGTAGGCATAATAGCTTATAAATGTTATGTTCTCACCTTATGGTAGCATTGTATGCAATGAAAGAATTTAATATGCTCACATACAATCAAAACAATATAGGTTGACAATTGTAACTAATTATGTTTCTTCAATTCTATTATTTAATCTCTTTGGACTATGGTGAGTTTATATAATTCAACTGTTTAAAAAGTCTGATTCTGAATATATGAATCAAACCTGTAATATGAAATCATTAATAACTTCTCTGACATGCACAAATCTGATGATGTTCACTTGCCCTTTTTTTTTTATTCATGCAAAACCCACACTATTAGTGATGAAGTTTTTAGGGAGTTTGAAATTCTACTAGGGCTCATGTTTCTTATCCATGCTCACTTAGCACTATCTAATCCAACTGGATTTACCTGAAGTAATCCATTCACATTCACTGTTACAATTAACATGCAGGGAGAAGACGATTCCTCATGACTACTGCAAACTAGGTATTTCAGGGCACACGAGAAATGAAGATTTTCTGCTGATAATTCAGCCTCCAGCAAACAAGCTAGTGTAGCAGGAGAGGCCAGGCCTTTAGAAGATGATTCCTCATGGCTACTGTGAACTAAGTATTTCAGGGCACATGGGAAATGGAGAATTTCTACTGATAATTCAGCCTCCAGCAAATAAGCTAGCGTGAGTTAAAGTATTCCTCAATATCTATTGAATCTGCTGCACCAGCTATCGCAACAGAATGGCAAAGACAATCTGGATCACCTCTGTCTGCTTGCTCCTGAACATTCAGACTGAACTTCAAGAATTTGAAAAAAACACACCATCCATCAGATGACAAGAAATCACCACCGGACCACAAGAAACATGGGAATGCAAGAAAATATCTCTCCTCCAAGGGAAAAGAGTAACTCTTCTTCATCCACAAGCAGTTCAGTGAAAATCATGGAAATGTCTGATAAGGAATTCAGAGCATTCATAATATCGAAGCTAACAGAGATGGAAGAGAAGAGAGACAATGAACTGCTAATGAGAAAGGAGAAAGAAGTTGACGAGTTCCAGGAGATGAGGAAATTTTTGCAAGAGGAATTACACACTTTACAGAAGACTCAAATGGAACTGTTAGAGATAAAGCCTATAATACAGGAAGTCAAAATCTCCCTTGAAAGTATTAAAAGCAGACTAGATCATTCAGAAAATAGAATCTCAGACATAGAAGAGAAAATGGCTGGCCTAGAAAAATACACCACGAAGACTGAGAAAATGGCACAAAAATTTGAGAATA